ATGGTTGTGATTACCCTCATGATTTAACATCATCTAGGACCACATTTTAGTCCAAGAATCATGTTTGTATGTGTGCATGCGTGACCTCTTTTATGCCTTAAGGGTGTGCCCTCTTATGCCTAGGAATGAGCCTTAGTGCATATGCCTCTTGGGAGTCACCTTAGCTGCCATTCTATGAGGTTTTGGAGCCCTATTTTGGTCTGCAAAATTCTGTTTTTACTTGTTTTAATCATGCCATGAGAGGTCATGTTGGTGGGGGAAAGTTGTCCCCTTTTGTGCCTTAACTTTGGGACCATGAGCTTGCTTGTTAACATGAGTTGTTTGTCCATCATTTTGAGAACTTTTGGTGCTGTTTTGAGGTGAATAAAGGTCTGCACTTTTATCGCTTTAGGCCTTCTTGCATGCTTGCTCCAGGTTTGTTGCATGGTTGTTCCATTAAGCCTTGTAGCATATCAATCCCATTCCCCCCCCCCTTTTGCATGCCTATTTCATGTTGATTGCATGATTGTCCCATTAATGTGCTATTCTATGCTAACTTTATGGCAAATTGGCTCATGTTTGTATCCCAATTGCATCTTGCATGTTGACATTACATACTTGCCATGTTTTGTTGCATGGAATTTGGCATATCTTGCATGTTTAGGATCATGTTGTATTTTGAGCCTTGTGAGCATAACATGCATTGCATCATTTGGCTTGGGGTGTCAAGCCAAATATGAGGATCAAGGGACATTCATACTCCCAGTGATGTAATGTACCTTGTTTCTAGGTCACCGGGGCCTTTGACTTCGACATGATAAGGCTTCGGATCTCATTTTGTTTGTTGCATACATCCTTATATCAAATGGCAAATTTGATCCTTTGAGCCACCATGCACCATTGATGGTTCAAAGATCGAAGGGCATGCTTCCTTGAGTTCAAAACATGATAGGAAGTATGACCATGCTTACATGTGCCCAAAAACTCCATGCCATGCACTGTCTGCTCTCTGTTTGCTATCAAACTATCTTCTGCAGGAAGTTTCTGCCGACCGGCAGAATTTAGTGCCGACCGGCAATCTTTTAAGTGCCGATGAATCCAATGAATGCCGATAGAAATTCTGGAGTGCCGGTGGGAATTCTGTCTGGCCGGTGGTGCTCTGCAGCATATGAGGAACCTGCTCCAGGACTTGGGCAATTTTCAGAGAGACAAGGCAGTACAAACAGAGGTGGCAGGGGTACGGTACGGGTTTTTCGGGCGAGTCAAGTTCCGAGCATGCATCATCTGCGCATCCCGAGGCAGAGGCTGTGGCCACCCTCCTTTCCTTTTGCATCTTTCCTTTTAATTAATTAGAAAATTCTGTAATAATTTTATTTGTTTATTATTTGGGACTGTAATATTTATTTGGGTCCTCCGAGCGAGGGCAAATCTGTAATAAGTGTGTGTGGGTGGTGTGTATGTCTTCCAACCCCACTTCTTTCTTCCCTTTTATTTACCTGCTTACGATGGTAGATTAGGGCATATTTGAATTTAGCATACCTTATGCTATGCATGCGCGCATCCATGCATTTGTATTGCATACATTAGGCTCGGTACATCACGCTAACCGCATTTGTATTTCAAATTCTAAACCGAATATGTGATAATTGTGCATTTTCACATACCATGTTTAGGGCTAGCCGAGCCTGCCTAGATCACATTTTGCATGTGATGCATTAGCCACTTTTAACATGAACTAGGACATGCATGTTTGCTAACTAGTTTACTGTTTTGGCACGGAGTACGATGTAAGTATTTTTGCTTTAGCATCCAGCATGCGTGTGAGTGTTGCCATGACAGTATGCTTGCCATGCGGCTAAGTGCTTACATGAGATAAACTGCTTGAATGCCTGTGGGTGGAGGTCAAATTGCTTAAATTGGGATAATGCGTTAAAACTGCGATTTTTAAGCCCACTAGATAGTGGCAAAACCATCTTTTCCAAAAGCCCACTTGAAGGTGGCAAAACCTGCATTTTAGCCTACTTACGAGTAGCAAACCATTTTCAAAACAAACATGAAATGTTTTGTTCCAATTTGGGTGATTTGGTCTATACTTGTTTGCTGCGCGCATAACATAGTAATTCTAGGCTAACAATTGGTTTAAGAACACATAAAGTTTTCAAAAACGGATATCACGGTTAGTAGAGGCCGGTCTTCGGACCGGGAGAGAGGGGGTGCTCATAGCTGACCTTCCCCGATCGTACCCAAGCTCCCGAGCCGAGACAACTCCGGTGATGACAGACATGTGGCCTTCGGCACCGAGTCAGGGTTTCCTAAATTCCCCCAAAATAAAAT